TGATTAATTCCATGTGGGAATGGGGAATTCCCACCATTGCACGGCTCCGGTCGGTTCCCGGCGCTGCCGGTGCCCAACGGGGCTTGGCCAACCCAAGACCCAACGTTGGGTTGGTGCCTTTGAATTTTCACGGCAAATGAACGACCTCGAATTAATTAGGGGATGATTAATTGGCTAATTAATGATGGCAGGGGGAGTTCCCATCATTCCCAGTCCTCCCAGTGCCCAGCTGGGATTGGCCAACCCAACTCTGAGAGCTCTTCCCAACCTCCCATTCCTAAATTTGGGGGGGAAAAAAAACCCCAAAAATTGAAAAAAAAACCACCACGAAATATTCAGAAAAAAACAACAGAACTTTGGAAAAAAACAAAAACATGGGAAAAACATAAAAAATCGAGAAAAACAGGAAAAAATTGGGAAAAAAATACAACAATAATTTGGGAAAACTCAAAATTCCAGAAAATAAACTCAAAAATTGGGGGGAAATTAAAATTTTAGGAAAATGCTTAAAAATTTGGGAAAAAATGACAAAGTTTGAGGAAAAAAACTCAAAATTAGAGGATAAAAAGCAAATTTGGAAAAAAAATTCCCAAATTTGAGTCATGAGTGGCACCAAATGTGGGTTTGAGAGGAAAGATTTTATTTTCTTTTGGATTTTTTGGGGTTTTTCCCAATCTTTTTTAACTTTTTTTTTGTTTTTTTAATGAAAATTTGAATTTTTTTGGTTTTTGTTACTTTTGTGACTTTGTATTTTCGGTGTCGGGTCAATAAAAATCCGACTTTGGGCTGAAAATGCCAAAAATTGGGGTTTTTTCATTATTTTCCATAAAAATTTGGGATAAAATGCCCCAAAAATTTGGATTTTTCCACCGTTTCCCCCCATTCTGACTGAGCACAGGAAATTCCATTTAAGACACAACACCTGTCAATTAATTCACTTGATGAGTTTAATCTATTAAAATATTAAAAATCCCCCCCAGATTGAGTCACAATCAATCACCCAGAGGGGATTAATAAATAATAAATAAATAAATAATAAATAAGAACAAATAAATAAAAACAAATAAATAACAAATAAATAATTATAATAAATAATTAACTATCAATTCAGCACTCACAGGCGCTGAAGCTGAGGTAGAGGTGACCTCGTTAATTAAAATCTCGTTAATGAGGCCGTCCTGACCACGCCCCTTTCCAGTGCTCCCAGTTCCAAACTGGGATGGAGGAACCTCAAAATCCAAACGTTGGCTTTGTTCCCACCTTAATTAATGGCAGCTAATTAAGGAGCTGGTCATTAATTAGAGGTTAACGAACCAGCTAATTAATTAAGGGATGGGAAAATCCATCTCAATCTATGGCTCCGCCCCTTCCCAGTGCGCCCAGTTCCAAACTGGGATTATCCAACCCACAGCTCTTCAACCTTAATTAACGACCTTGTTAATTAGCCCA